GCTAACATAAGAAAATTTCCCTTGACATAGAGTGATAATTTGGGGTACATTCTACCAGTTTTTGATATTGTCAATAGCAGTGTTCAGCTCAATAAAGTTCTTACCTAGTAGGAAAAGAAATGGATGGTTAGAATTTACACTGCTACATCTTCAAATACAGTATCTCAGACTTCCAGGTTCAACATCAATAGTTCAGTCCTTTTCTGGTGTCCTTTAATCCTGCATGACCTCGGGGGAAGACTGAAGAATGGCCAGAGATAGAGGGGCCAGCAGCTTCCAACAGCATAATGGTGGGCCTGATGCTGATAAGCGGAAGTGAGAATTCAGCAACTAAGGCAGCTTGATCTCCAGGCCTAGCTATTGAAGTGTGGCCTCCCAGCATGGCTTTCCCATATACCATGAAGGCCTATCAGCAATGGTTATGTATTATGTGTTGAGGAAACACCTGCTCAGCAGACTGTTGTGAGGGCCTAGAATTAAAGACCGATCAGGGCCAAAGGAATAAAATTGAGAGCCAGCATAACAAGTGACCACAACTGTGTGAGGGGTGATAGTCCCCTTGAAGAGCATGGGGATGTCCAAGGAGAAGTGACCAATGAGAATGTGGTAGGCCCTGACACCTTGTTTGACTGATGTAGGAAGAGAAGTGAATAAACAAACACTGAAGAGGAACTAGGCTGTGGAGGTGGAAGGAGAACCACTGAAGGTGCAGGGGCCTGAAACCCAGGGGCAGCATTTAAAAAAGCAAAGGTTGAGCAACAGTCAGCTGCCCCAGAAGTGAGGCGCTCTGAGAAATTGCTACTAGGGTTGGAAAAAAGGACGTCAGCAGTGGCCCAAAGAGGAACATTAGCTTATCACTGGTTCCAGTTCTTTCTGTCCTCACTCTGCGTACCTCCATGAGCAGGTCCTCTTTTTCTGCCCCATCCCCATGAAGTTCTACGAGTAGGAGAACTGTTTGGGACTTAGGGAATGATAGTAAAAGGGAGAAAGTTCCATGGGGGCTAAACCACAGCTTATGCATTTCATCTCCAGAACCTACAGCTATGTATTGAGGAAAGTGTGTGAGGGCATAGTTCTCATCTTGGGCGTGTTGGGGTTGAATGAGAGTGTCTGGCATGTCTGCTGTTCAAATTGTTAGCCAAAAAGATGACCCTGTTATCCTGAGAAGGCTCTAAGAGACTGGTTTTCGTGTCTGTACTCTTTTAAAAAATGTAAAAGATCTCTCTCTCTCTCTCTCTCTCTCTCTCTCTCTCTCCCCCCCCATCCATGAGGTCACAGGGCAGCTTATAGTTCTAGCACATGGGTCCCAGGAATTGAGCTCAGGTCATCAAACTTGGTAGCAAGTGCTCTTACCACTGAGCCACCTCGCCAGCCCTTTTGCTACCAGCTGCCCTTCTTCATGGGGTCTGCCTCCTACCTCCCACTGAGGAGATTCCCAAAGCCTGCTTCAGAGGGGGCCACAGCTTCCCTAGTTCTCCACTTCATTTTGCAACCCAGAGAAACCTAGAACACACTTTCCTTACATGTCCTTTAGGGACACAAATAGCAAAACAAGCAACAAGGCCACCCCGGGCGAGGATCTGGGAAGCCTGACAAACATGCAGGGCTCTTGCAGCTGTGGTCGGCTCCTGGTCTTTGTTCTTGCTCCCTCCTGGGAGCCTTATGGCCTTTGACCTTTTGGATTTATTCCTGAGGGTAAGACCTTTATCTTCATTCAATTCAGCTATGGAGACTCCCTCCAAGTGGCCTTGTCATTTGTTATAGGTAGTCCACCCCTTAGCTCTGAGGCCTGGAGGAACTCATTCCACAGAGCTCCACACTTACTCAAGAATGGTTCACATTTTGTACTGACAGAACACAGACGTATCACTTTCCATAATTATATTTTATAAATATCACTTTTATTATAATGGTGTTATCCTCAGAAACCTTTGGTGGCCCCTTCTACCTGGAAGCTGGGGAGAAGGGATCCCTTTTCAGGTCTTCATGCCCTCAGAGAAGGTCCCAGAGGAAGTGGGAGGGGGTCTGCTATGTCTGCCCCACAGTCCCTATGAACTTCAGTGTTCTTCCCTCCCTAGCATCCCTACTCACCACCTCATGGGCTTCTAACACATGACATATGGAAGACTATGCAAGGATGAGAAAGGGTGTCTTGGAGTGCAGAGTAAACTCAGAGAGCTCAGAAGACCTTTAAGTCTGCCTTGGCCTCTGTGTGACCAGACCCAGATCATATAAGATCAGGTATATGCAGCTTCCAAATGTCTGGCTTCAACCCATTGTCCAAGAAATAGGAGACTTTCATTCTAACACCTCTGCCATTAGCTCCCATAGACCTTAGGCAAGTGCATTTGTCTCTAGATGTAACACTCTTTAAGTGAGGATGATCTGTGGTTCATTCCAGTTGACCTTTTATTTTTTCTCTCCTGTAGCACAAATCTACTTCAAAATGATTCATTTTCTTATGCCTCCTCAAGACTCTAGACCAGGGGCTGGAGAGATGGCTCATCAGTTAAGAGGATGTTCTTCCAGAGGATTTGAGTTTAGTTCCTAGCACCCACATCAGGAGGCTCACAATTGCCTGTAATTCCAGCTCCAGGGGATCCAATGCCGTCTTCCGGCCTCCATGGGCACCCATACTTATGTATACACACACACACACACACACACACACACACACAGAATTTAAAATAGGAATTTAAATTAAAGAAAAAATACTCTAGATCAGAAGAGCAAATCAACCTATTTCCACTTGTCAGCTTTATTTGTATGATGGCTGCATTGAAGAGACTGCATTCTGAGTTAGTGGGAAAAGGTGCTAAAATCAATTAATAGTGTCTGCTGTGGGCAAGAGACATGAGCTATACATTGGCTTACACCCTTTCAGCCTTCTACCTTTTACTGAAGCAATTTCCTCTTTCTGGAATTCCTTCTTCTTTTTATTTCTACTTGTCAAAATTCTTCCAAAATCCAGTTTCTCGAAGAAGTTGGAGTACTTTCCACATAAAAGTACTTGGTTAAAAACAGTGTATTGTAGACAGGATTTTTGTAGTGAGTATATTAATGCTGCTCTTGTTGCAGGGAAGAAGCATTTTAAGGGAGGAAGGATTTATTTTGACTCTGAGGGGATTCAGTCCATCCTTGTGGGGAAAGCATGTGGTGGGCAGTACCCTGCCAACAGCGATGTACTGCAGCTGTTTGTACATGGTAATGATCATGAAACAGAAATAAAGAGAAAGAGACAGAGAGACAGAGAGAGACAGAGATAGCCAATGAGAGGGAGCTCACCCAGAAGTGGGACCGGGATGTAATACTCAAGGACCCACCACTAAGGCCCTACATCCATTGCCAAGACTATGCGTCCACAAATTTCCACAACCTCACAAAACAGCATCATCAGCTGGGGGACAAGTGTTCAAATATCTGAGCCTGTAAGGGACATTTCATCTTTGCACCAGAACACTAGATATGTTGTTGCATTATAATAACCATTTTACTATATATATCTTATATACCTTAAACATACACAGTAAAACTTAATTTGAAAACCAAAAAGAAGCTTCATCTTCCTCTGAAAATTTTATGGACAACTCTTGGGGGCCATTTAGTTTGTTTCTATTTTCAGAAATGATGACTACTGCTGCTATCAACAAAAAGACAAATAAAACAAAGCTAAACAGTGAAGTAATGGCTCCTGGGCTCTTGGGGCATTGGCTAGACACTGACATTGCCTGGTGAGGTTAAGTTCATCCTGCTGGGTGTGTGTCTTCCCTCCCAAATGAAGCTGTGGAACAGACCATCAGAGCCTGGAGCTTTCTTCCACTTTAGTTTCATTTTTGTGACTGTGATAAAATATGCTGACCAAAAGCAACCTAGGGGAGAAAAGTCTTATTTTAACTTGCAATTCCAGGTTACAGTTTATCATTTTGAGAAAGTCCATGAACTTGAAGCAACAGGTCACATCACAATAATAGTCAAGAGCAGAGAACACATATTTTGAAAATGTTTTATATTTGAGGAGGAAGCATGGAAATTTACATCATGCTAATTAGTAGAGGTGAAAAACAATACCATTGAAATCTTCCCGATGACTTTATAGACATACACAGGTGCCAAGGATCCAAGTGCAACTGATTATAACTAGTAATAATCAGATACATACAGATTAGAGATACATGCGCCAACATCTCAGCATTAGTAGCAAAAACAATGAGTCTGCTGTAAGAAACAGTGTATTTGAGAATGAAACGGAGACCTTTTTTGAGAGTTAAAAACTCATTCAATTTTACGACTTACAGGGCTTATACTGAGTTCAATATTGTACAACTGTATTGATTCAACAGCGAACTAGAAATTTTATAGCCACTTTTGAAGGAGCTATGTCTTTGCTCTGGAAAGTGTTATCGGGCATGTTATAAAAAAGTATAATGATTATTTTAAAAAGTATAATGATTAAAAAATTCTTCAAAGCATAAAAATTTGCTCCTTAATAATTAGTAGATGTGAAAAACATTATCATTGAAATCTACCTGATTACTTTATATCCATGCTCAGATGCCAAGGAGCTCAGAAAGTAACTGACCGTGACTAGTAATAATCTGATATATAGAGATTAGAAATACATGTGCAAACATCTTAATGTCAATTGCATTAAAAATGAAGTTTTCTGCATGAAACTCTGTATTTTAATAATGAAATGGAGATCTTTTTTAAAGGTTAAAACCTCATTTAATTTTATGTCTTATAGGGTTTATACTGAGTACAATATTGTATAACTGTAATAATTCAACTGTAAACCTAAAAATGTACAGCCAATTTTGTAAGAGATGCAGCCTAGCTCAGAAAATTGTTATTGAATATGTCAATGCTCATGTAATGAAATGCTTCTTCTAAGTATGTGGTTATTAAATAAATAATTAAAAAATAAAAAAAGAAAAGAAAGCATGTGCGCTTAGTGCTCAGCTAGCTTTCTCTACTCCGATGCAGTCCAGGGCTCAAACCAGGGAATGAGGCTGCCCACTTTCAGGCTGGATCTTCCCACATCAATTAAGGCATAAGACAACCCCTCACAGACATGGCCACAGGCCAATCTGATCTAGACAATCCCTCATTAAAACTCTCTCCTATGTGATTCTAGGTTGTGATTACTTTTCTCCAGGCCATGATAAAATGCCTGAAAGAAGCAACTTACAGGAGAAAGGATTTACTTCTGCTCTGAGGGGATAGAGAGTTCATCATGGTGGGGAAGGTCTGGTGGCAATTGAACTGTGACACCTCTCCATCACCTGCTGATGTATCACAGAAAAAAGTCTGGAGCTGGCACTCTGGCTTTGCTGAGTGAAAAATGCTCTTTTGAACACAAGAGAGTCAAATGTTGCTAATACACAGCAACAGCAGTGCTGTGCTTGCTGAACATGGTCAGACAGGTCCACTAGGATTAGTCAAACAGCAAGACCCAAGACTGGTTCCCTAGAAGCTGGTTTCAAAATAAGGGTGAGGCTTTTGGTGAGAGGAGGTGGGGGAGTTCCAGCTGTTGGGAAAGTGTGAAGGTTCAGAAGGGGGAATCTGCTCTTGGGCTTATCACTGGGCAACAGGCTTAATCCTTTCTCTTATTCTGGCTGAGGCTATGGTACTTTGTGAACTCACTCTCAGTCTTTCTGCCTGTATGTATGTCTTTTTGCTAGTGCTGACAACTCCTGCTGAAAATCAACCTGTCAGTCAATTAAGGCCTGATGGCTGTTGGTGTCCTGGGGCTGGTGTCAGCAGTGTGAGTCTCCAAAGCAGTGTGAATTCCCTCAAAGTGGTGTGGGCCATGAAAGCTATAAATCCGGACTGCAGTTGAGATGCAGCTGAGGCATCACAGACTCTTGATTTACAAGGAGGCTAGTCCCTGGTCGCTGCTGCTGGCAGTGCTCCTTGCTCCTCACGGGACTCTATGTGGAGGGGGGTGGCTGTGGGAATGACAGGAAATAAATGGAGAGGATGTTTAGTCCTGTGAATGACGGTTCCCCTCCCTCACCATTGTGTTGATCACCCCTGGCTTGTCATAGACTCTAGACCCCTTCGTAGCTACAGTCTGATATGTGTGTGATTGTTTTCTCTCTCCTACTATTTCACAGGCACTTTGAAGGCAGACTCTGGTTCCTATTTCTGGGATCTGCCTCCTTTGCCGCACACCAGGCTCCTTACACCTCACTGGGCTTACAGGGAAGCTAGATGTACATGGGATGACTGGACTGATTAAGTGCTGAATAGAGAGGGAGAGGAGTGAATTAATCCTAGAAGGAGGACCTCTCAGGAAAGCTCTGGCCTCCTTTTTGATAGCTTGCAAACCAATTTGAGGTACCCTCTGCCAGCTGACTACCTCCTTGGCCTGGTACTCCGATTGCCAGCCTTAGGCTGAGCCATTCCTATAGCCTCTGGGGAGACATGGCTGGCCTTCAGTTCTACATATTTCAGTTGGCCCTGTGGGCAGAGTCTGTTCCAAGGCCAATCTGAGTGAATTTGGCCACCTTCCTGTTTTATAAATCCCATTCCTAAACTGCATCCTACAAGCATCTCCTTGCCTATTCTCAGAGGAAAAAAGCTGGCCATCCTGAGCCTGCTTCTCCTCAAGGCAGTCATGCATCTCCTCTTGCACTGAGTGGGTCCTAAATCTGGGCATGGGTGGGACAGCAGTTTAAGAAAAACATGGGAGGCCTCCTGCTCTCCTGTAGCTCTAAGCCCATCAGGGTGACCAGAAGACAAAGCTCATTGCGAAACTCTTCAAGGCAATGCTTGCGTGATAAGCACTACATGTGTGGAGGAAGAGCTTGGCCCAGCCCTGTCTAAGGCTCGCCTGGGTGGGCTGGGGTCTGGGAGGGACCCATAAGGAACAGGAGGAAGTCTGGGGATATAGCTTAGTGGTAAAGTGCTTGCACAAGTATATGTACAAGACCCTAGGTTCAACAGAAGAAGAGAGAGAGAGAGAGAGAGAGAGAGAGAGAGAGAGAGAGAGAGAGAGAATGAGAGAGAGAGAATGAGAATGAGAGGAGGGTTCTTCCAAGAACATGGAAAGCTAATTCAGCCAGTTACCAGCTCTGTGATTCATCTAAGCTCTCTGGTCTCAGGTTCTCTACACAATGAGGTTCTATGCAGGGGTCTGGAATTCTGAGGAGGCCTGGACAGGCATGTAGCCTTGTTGCTAGAGTGCTCTGAGAAGTTGCTGGTCTAGCAGCAGAGGCCCAGGCCACCAGGCGTAAGCAGAGGGCCTGTGATCCTAAGCATCTCTTCACATGACCTCTGGGTTGGAGAGTCATACCTGAAAGGCCATGGGCCAGAACTGCATCCTCAAGACTGGAGAGCAGGTGCCTTAGGCCTGTCAGCTTACCCAGTCTTCTTCCTAATCCCAAGGCTGCAGTGACAAAGAAGAAAAGAACTTTAACTGGGCGAGGGGGTGGGGGGCAAAGAAGCCACATGAGCAGCAACCAGGACAAACAAAGATGTGTTGTTTCCCCAGCTTGTGGTATTTATTTGCAAACAGCAGTGTTTGTGCAGTACACTGTTCTCTTGCCTCCCTGGCCAACAGAGACTGTCTGTGTGCTGGCTCCTCCCTGCCCCGGGTTCCATCTCTGGCCTCCACAGGATTTGCTGCTTGTGCAAGACCCTTGCTCCCTGCACTGGCTCCCTGTCCTTGCAGTCTGAGCAGAATCAGCACTTAGGTAGAGAATTCAGTGTGGCTTAGAAGGGGACCACCACTGTGGCTTTGGGGATATCCAATTAGAGAAGCTATGTGCCTGTCACACTCTAGACACCCACCTCTGACCATAGCTCAGTGTTTCTACCTGAATCCCAAATCTAGGCCCAAGACTCAGAGACAACCCTGGCCAGCACTGTCAGTGCTGGAAAGTCCAGAAGGGGCAGCCTTGGGAGGGTGGTACCCCTGATAATTATGAATAATCAAAGTGTATTAGAGTGTGAGAGTGCCTGGCACAAAGTAGCTTATGTTTAAAGCCTTGGGACTTGGGCAGGGAGCAGTACTCAGTAGTCTGGTACTAAAGACTGGGTCTAGGAGGAGGCTCTGGATGGGCAGAGGGCTGCCTCAATTTAGAGTCCTCTTGGTTACTCTTAAAAGGAGGTCCAGGGCATCCTTGGTTTGGGGTATGGTGCTCACACTCCTGAAGTCATGCTGTGCTTATGGATGTTCATCTTTCCCATCTGCCTTCCCTGCCTATACACACAAGCACTACACCCATATCTGAGTTTAGATCAGTTTCAAATCCCTGTGCTTTGCCTGCAAGTGGGAACTTGGTGGTGCAGAATGGTGAAAGCCATCCTGAGGATCGGGCAGCAAGGGCTCCCACTTGCCAACATTGGGAAAGCATGTCTTAGAGTTGGCTGAACTTACACAAAGGCCAGATTCTTGCTGGACAGCTTCTGAGTCTCCCATGTTCTCTCCCACCTGTCACCCCTGATGCATGGCATATCCATCTGCTCTGGGGCACTCTCCAAACATCTTGGTCCTGATTACTCCTCTATTCAATTTAAAATATCCAAATAAGCTGAGAGAAGTCCTAGAACACTTAAGAAAGACAGATCGATATAGGGGAGGGAGGAGGTAAAGTGCAAGTCAAGTCCAGGAATAGTGAGGTGAGGCAAAGGAACAGTGTCTGGAGCATTAGAGACAGATCTGCTCTGAGGGGTTATCTGAGCTCCACTTTCACACACTGATGACCATTGTGAGGCAGTTGCCCTCCCTGGGTTAAGGGGGCCAATTCTTGCCTCCTGTGTGTTACAAAGGGGTTGCCTGGGGGCCTAACTCAGTGTTGGTGGTCAATAGTTGTAATAACACACATGATCTAAGTTAATGGCAACCCCATCCTTTTAACAGCTCAACCCCAAAGCCATGGAGCCTTTTCTCTCACATCCCACTTCAAAGCTATCAGCAAATTCTGCCTTCTTTCCCACTATCCAGCACACTCCCTCTTCCCACCATTTCCTGTTACTCCTCTCAGGCTGTCACCCCCTCTCCTGCACTGTCATACAAGCTTCTCAGAATATCTCCCAATGCCCCTCAGTTCTTTCTCAACATAGCCCTCTGTGGCTCCCTAGTTCCTTCTCGGAAGCCCATGCAGTATCTAGAAAGACAGTTCATAATCTTCCCACTGCTCATCTCCATGACACGCCCCCGACTCTTCTGCCCAACATTTGCTTCCTTTTCCAGCTCCTCAGCAATCAGGGGTGATGATCTCCTTGGTGTTTGTGGGGGGGGGGTGTTCACCAATGCCAAAGTGACTCAGTCTCCCCTTCTCTGTGCAGCCAGCCTTAGCCACTACAGTTACTACTGCTGCCTGCTCTACCCACAAACCCTTTGGCCCCTCATCTTGACTTGCTGGTCCTTTTCTCACGGTCCTTAGCACATTGGAGCATGAACACAACTTACTGATTTTATCTCTGCATTGTTACCTGGTGTATCTCCTAGGACTCAGCAAGGATTCTCTGTGTTTATGAAGCAATCTCACAAGAAGCCTAGGAAGTGCTTAGGCAACCTACTTCTACCAAAGACAGAAACCCCCAGGTTTTCCACAGAAAAGATGTGGTTCTCAACCTGGATCAAGGTTGGGGAGGTAATGAACAATGGCTCTTCTGTCTGTCCTCTTTAAGGTCATCGGACCTGGGACCCAGATTCAGGCTCAGTTACGAACCCATTTCCTTGACTCCCCTCTGCATAGCTGAGGCCAACTGGAGAATTCCTGAATTTTTTATTCTACTTTCTCTAAGGGAGAAAATTAGAAAAAGTAGCATTCACAATACAAGAACCATAAAGCTATCTGGCTTATGAAGTGTATGTTTCTGATCCAGTTCCCAGAGCATGCAGGTTCTGTCTTCTTTCTGGTACCTTTTGAGGAGGCTGAATTCTTGCAGCAGAGGCCTGGCCAGGCTCTCTATCCCTGGCCTCCTTTTCTAAGTCTCCACCTTCTACCTGCTACCCATCTTTCACCTTCTCCCTCCTGCCCTGACTCTAGGAAACATCCCAGGCCACTTCTCTGGGACAGCAGCTGCTTCTTCTATCAAGTAGAAATAGTGACATTTCAGACTTGAAGTTCTAGTAAGGGGTAGGGAGTGCAATAATGGATGTGATGGCTTTGTCACTTTCAGACTCTGCTCAAACCTAAGATGAATGGGAAGTAGCAGTTGGGATCAGGGTAGACACAGATCCAGTATAAGAAAGAAACCCAACCCAGAGGGGCCAGAGGACCTGTTGACATAGCCACTGTCTACAATGCTCACTCCTCTGGGTCAGATCATTTTTGCTGAGAGAACTTCGATATGGCTAGAGTAGATCAGAAACCTGTATTTTATATACCAGATATGACTTTTTTAAAAGAGTTTTAAATTTTTTATTTTATGTGTATGGTATTTATATGCATGTAAGTACAGCCATGTCATGCAATGTCCACAGGCGTCAAAAGAGGGTGTCAGATCCCCCCGGAACTGAAGTTTATGGACAGTTGTTAGCCATCATGTGGGTGCTGGGAACCAAACCCAGGTCCTCTGCAAGAGCAGTCAGTGCTCTTAACCACTGACCCATCTCTCCAGCCTGTAAGAGTTATTTTTATTTATATGTATGTCTGCTAGTGCCTATAGAAACCAGGAGAGTATGTCAGATCCCTGAAGCTAGAGTTACAGGCAGTTGTAAGGCCCCCAATATAGGTTCAGCAAGTGCTCTAAACCACTGAGTTGTCCCTCTAGCCCCAGCTCTATGATTCTTATGCTGTCTGTGCTAAATAGCAACTCTTTGGTCTTCCATCTGCCTGGTTATAGATGAACCAGGGACTGAGGGAGCCAGACTAGTCAGAATCTAAAGCCCAAAGTGGGGGCATGCCTGGAGGTAGCTGAGTATGGTACAAAGGTCCAGAAGAGGGGCTAGAGAGATGGCTCAGATGGCATTGGCTGCTCTTGCAGAAGCACTGGGTTCAATTCCCAGCATCCACATAGCAGCTAACAACTGTCAGGAACTCCAGTTCCTGGCTCCTCTTCTGGCCTACATGGACAATGCACGCACCTGGTACACTTATATATGCAGGCTAAACACTCAAACACATAAAATAAAAATTAAAAATAAAATAAAAAATTTTTAGCTCACAAAAGTCCAGAGACGCTCATGCCTGGGTGGTAGTGCCTTTAGAGGCACCATCCTCACATTCGTTTGAGAAGCCTTGCTTGACATAATACAATCCATAAGGCACTTACTATGTGTCCAGCATGACAGTTGATATTAAGGATCCAGCTGATAGAAAGACAGGGCTCCTCCCCATTGGGACACATTGCCTATGGGTCAGACAGATGCTGAGCAGGTTCACAGGCAGTTGCTATTAATTTTGTGTGAGTTGTTTTGTTTTGTTTTGTTTCTTGAGACAGGGTCTCCCTATAGCTCCAACTGGCCTGGAACTTGCTATGTAGACTAGGCTGGACTCCATCTCACAGAGGTCCACCTGCCTCTGCCTCCCAAGTGCTAGGAATAAAGGTGTGGGCCACCATGCCCAGCAGAACATTATTATTACCAACAAGACAATTGTTAGAAGGACAGGCCTTGGGTGCTGCAAGGGTACACATCAGGGGAATTTGACTTAGTGGAAGGGCATCAAAAAAATCTTCTGTGAGGAAGTGTATTTGAGCTGAGTACTATTTGTAAGACAGACTATTTCTAGCAAGTCTCAAGAGCCAAACAGCCTTTCTGCATACTGCACCCAGGAAGTTGGACAGTCTTAAGCCACAGTAAGGCCCCTGGATGGGGATGGGATGTCTTGAGGGTATAGCCTAGGCTGGGGCTCCAGTAATCTGAGGGTCACTCTTCTGATCCTGCCCATCCCCCAGCATACCCTTGAACGCACTGAAGCATAGGGACAACAAGGTTCTGGCAGCTCAGTCACCCATGGATGCAGCGAGGCAGGGCCCCATGACCTCATTGCAATGGTGTCTTATAGTCCTGCCAACAGGAGGAGAAAACAAATAGGGAAAAGTCCCCTAGTCCTCCTCATTCCTTCTGAGGAAGACTGGAGCTCTGTAGGCTCCAGCAGACAATATGCCTGCTCAGGAGGCCTGAATGGAATTCGGAATTCGAAAGTACTTGTTTCTCCACAGAAAAAAATTCCAAAGATTGCTCAACATTCCTTTGACTCCAGGAGCTGGAGTTTGGCAGCAGATGCTGAAAACTGAAGGAATGGAGCCAGTGGGTGTGCCTTGCTGTATGGCCAGGACTATCAGGGAATAGCCCCTCTGCCTTCCTCCTGGTGGGGGGAAGAGGGAGAGGGAAGGGGTTTGAAGTTGTTACCCTCCCCGTGGGGGAGCTGCCATGTTCCCAAGCCAGCCAGAGGCTGAAAACCCAGACTCTCTGGCTCTGTGCAAAGCCCT